ATATAGTTATTCTGAGATTTGGGGCAACAAGAGTGCAAAGAGTTTCAAGTGGGTACTTGCAACTAACACTTGTAAGTATCATGAAGTATTTTGTTCATCTGACATCAAAAGAACACAAAAATGTGCTGTATTAGTTTTCCACAGCTGCCAAAAGAAACAGCACAAACTGGATGGCTTAAGAAATTTATTTGGTCTGGAGGCTGTAAGTCCAAGATCAAGCTGTCAGGTGGTTTTTTGAAGGCCTCTCTTCTTGGCTTGCAGGTAGTTGCCTTCTCAATGATCCTTCTTCTGTTAGGTATGCATCCTTGTTATCTCTTTGTTCTGTTCTTGCGACACCAGTCAGAATAATTAGGGCCCAAGCTAATAACTTCATTTTAGCTCAGCCACCACCTTAAAGGATCCATTGCCCAAATGCAGTCACATGATGAGGTACTGAGGGTTAGGGTTTCAAATATATGAATGTTGGAGAAGATAATTCAACCCATAACCTGTGGTAATGTTTCAATAGTGTATAACATAGTTGAAAAGAAAAAAATGCTAGAAGCTATTTGAAAACAGTACTGAGAAGTATCTACTAAGATCAAATGAGAGTTAGAAAAAGTAACACATAGTTACATTTATCGAATCCCCACTGTTACTATTTATCTATCTCATATATACATATATATCTGTGTGTGTCTAATTTTTATATACATAAATTAATCCTCAAAAAATGATTACATACAAGGTAGTTATTACTCCCATTTCAATGAACATGTTTGGGTTCTGAATTTAAGTGAAATAATTCAGAAGAAGTCTTAAATCTGCAGCGGTATCTGAATTATTAAAAGACTACATACAACATATAGTAGCCATGGCAGAGAAGATAATATAATTTAGAAGACTTTAAAACAATCACTCAGTACCGCTCCTTGGCATATATCCAAAAGATTGGATATGACAGAGCCACTTGCACACCCACATTTATTGCAGCACTACTTACAACAGCCAAGGTTTGGAAGTAGCCCAAATGTCCCACTACTGATGAATGGATTAAGAAAATTTGGTATATATACACAGTGGAGCCATAAAGAGTGAAATTATGTTATTTGCAGGTAAATGGATGGAACCGGAGAACGTCATGTTAAGTGAAGTAAGCCAGGCTCAAAAAATTAAAAGTTGCATGTTTTCTCTCATATGTGGAAACTATGTCTGTAAGTTAAATGTATATAAAGAAACATATATGATCATGTATTTTATGTATATATTCATATACATATACACACATACATATATAATGAGATGGAAAACAAAATTGCATTAGTAAGTCTGTCTGAGAGGGGTGAGAGGAAATGTTAGACAATGAAAAATATTGAAAAAAACCATTTATATATGGATATAATACAGTGCACTGTACAGTAAGCTGTCAAATATTAGGGGAGCATGGAGTAAATAATAGGGGTTGGATGTTAATTAGATTAATGCATAATGTATATAGACCTGAAATACGAAGGCAACCCCTCCTTCGACTATCAATACACACTATCAAAAATAAATGAAAGGGGTAAATACCAGTGGAAGGGGGGTGGGTCCAAGGAAAGAGGGAATGAGGAAGTATATGGTGGATACATTTTGAAAATAGAAAAATGAAACCTGTTGAAATTATTCTAAGTGGGGGGGTGGGGAAGAGAATGATGGAGATGATGGAGAGGGGAAATCCAACTAAGGTATATTGTAAGCACATGGGTGAATATCACAATGTATCCTTCTGTACAACTAAATGCTAAGAAAAACATTAAATCACTGAAATAATAAGATAATTGTATGCCTTAAAAAGACGAACTTCGGAAATCTTTAAGATTAATTTCTGTGCTGTATTTCCTAAGGGTTACAGATATGTGTGATAACTGTACGTGTAACAGAAAAATGCTCACATCTTAATTCTGTCTTTGGTTAAGTGAAGTTTGAGGGAGTGGTAATATACAAGACTTGATAAAAATTTTGATAAGATGATAAAAGTTTTAATCATCTTCCTTCAGTGACCATTAGAACTGAAAGAACACACAGGTGTCTGGATGCTACAAATGATCTCAATAAAACTGGTGCATTTTCAAAAGTAATTCTTCCTGCAATATACACTTTATGTGCATTGTAGAACAAAAGCTGTCATGTGAAAAATGTGCATCAGGAGCTAATACAGTTTTATGCACATGAGTCATGTTTTTGTTTCAATTATTTTTTCTTTCATTTGAGTTCTCAGTGCCATTTTGATGAATCATCAGGTCATGATTTGTTTAGAAGACAAACAGTTAAAAATCATGGCTAATGATTAACTTGAGGGAAACAGAAATGAACAGTTGAGTACCCCCAGTCTGCTTATGTCTTATCTGCATAGATTCATCTTTAAAATAAAAAATATTAATGTGTTCGGTAAAAAATGACAGAGCCAGTATATAAATATATATCACTTTCAATTTTTTTTCAAAGAGGAATAAAAGACTGAATCATGTATTTGGTTTATTTCACAGTAATAACCTTCAACTGTTGGATATGATGGAGAAAAGCAACAGTCACATTCAAGTGGACCTGTAAAATGATTTTAATTTTTACTCAAAATATATGAGACGTCATCATTAGCCCTTAGCTTACACTTGAAAAATGGAGACAATTGTTCAGGAAAGAAAGAGAAACAGAAGCTCAAGTTTCAAGAAAAATTCCAGTAAGGCAGGTAAAAACTCCAGATACTCTCACTCTCCAACACTGCCAAACACAGTAATTTCCATATGCCTCCTTACTTCATAAAAATATAAATAGAATTATTACTTAGAAATAACAGTTTATTTAAAATTAGTTTTTCTTCCTAAATAACATGATCTCTTGCTTTACAGGAAGGCTCCCCCATAGCGCCATCTATTCATAAACTGTCCTGCAGTTTTACTTATTGTGTCAGTTCCAATTTATTTGGATTTAAAGAATAAATACCACCTACTCCTGGTCAACTATTCTACCCCCCACAAATACAACTGGTCAGTATTTTACAGTAAAGACAGTCACAGAATTTAATAGCACATTACTGTCTAGGATTGGAGTGATTAAAGTACAGGTCTTTTACATGACAAATCCTGGTAAGAAAAACACCTTAAGCTGGTGGAGGGCTTAAGTGGTACCTTCCTAGCAAACTGTGAGGCCCTGCATTCAAACCACAGTAAGAAAGAAAGAAAAGAGAGAGAGAAGGAGAAAGAAAGAAAAGGAAGGAAGGGAGGGAGGGAGGGAAGGAGGGAGGAAGGAAGGAAGAAAGGGAGGGAGGGAGGGAGGAAGGGAGGGAGGGAGGGAAGGAAGGAAGGAAGGAAGGGAGGGAGGGAGGAAGGGAGGGAGGGAGGGAAGGAAGGAAGGAAGGAAGGAAGCAAGGAAGGAAGGGAAAACCACTTCAAAACAGATGCAAAAAATGTTGGGAATAAAGCTTAGTTACATTTTTTCAGGGAGACATACTAGAGTTTGAACTTAGGTCTTGCAGTTGCTAGGTAGCACTCTACCACTGGAGCCACATCTGAGGCCCTTTTTGCCTTCAGTTTATTTTTCAGATATGGTCTTGCATTTTTGCCTGGGGCTGGACTGCAATCCTCCTATCTCCACCTCCTGCCTGGATGGGATTACAGAATCATGTGCCACCAGGCCCAGCCTGTTTCTTGAGATCAGATCTCTGTAGCATTTTTGCCTAGGCTGGCCATTCTTTGTGATGCTCTCATCTCTGCCTCTCAACTAGCTGGGGTTACAGGCCTGTACTACTGTACCTAGCTAGTTACTTAAGTTTTGATATCAAAACTCACCAAAACTAATACAATTTGAAAGAAATTAATGGAAAAGTGCTAACCATAATTTGAACTGTTAAATAATATTGTCTGATATAGGAGAATCACCAGTATCATAGCTGATTTTAATGTGGAAACAAAAGTAGAGGGCCTTAAAATTTTCGAGAGTAGAGAGAGATCATTGCTTTAAACTAAAAAGAAAGCTTAGATGGAATGTGAACTGATGGTCTGCAGATGTGCAGTATAATTAAAATATTTCCCACCTCAAAATGGCCATATGTTATACACTTCCAGTTATTTCTGACAATACAGGGAAAGACATTACAACCTCACATAAGAAAGAAAACAATAACAAAACATATTGAGCAACAAAATAACATCAGAAAAACACCCTGTGGTAATATATTTTGTTCGTACCAAAAATATAGTTAGGAACTCTAAAAAATTGTTTGCCTTCAGCAAACAATGACATCTGTGCCCAGCTGTGCCTACAACTCTGCAGTGCAGGGCAAGTTCCTCTTAACAGCTGCTGACAGTGTGGGCGTAGTGAGTATGTTCTGTGGCCGATTCACCCACACCAGAAAAAAGAACAGGCAGTGCCATGATTCACATTAGTTGGCTGAATATTATTCTGGGGAAAAGCTCAGACACTGGGCTTTTTTCTTAACAAGCAGTTTCTTCTTAACAACTTCTTGTCCTTAGTTAACTAGAATAAATTTTAGCTCATCTCCTTGAGTAGTAGGACATTTGTTAAATTCTTGCCTTTAATAATTTTTTTTTAATCCCGATGCTTTGTTAGGCATCTACTGAAATAAATCCTCCCTCTTTCAAACACTTCCTTTTCTTTTCTCTCAGGTAGAACCTATGTAAACCTAAACACATAAAGGAACTTAATATACAAGGCTTCTCAAAGTGCAAAATATATTACATACAGTTCCACACGCTTCATTGAAACATAACATTTTATACAACATAGCATCGTTTGAGATTTCTGCTCATAATCCCATTTACAGACCACTACTTAAAAATAACCCAGTGTTTTCTTACACAAAGTTAATACAATTGAACTTTACAAGCTTTTTCAGATCAAAATAAAGTTAATCTTATACTTAGTCACATATATACATACATTAAAGTGTTCTCTAAATGTTTAAGTATAGGTAGACAAATTTCTTAAACATAGACAAATTTGCCTATAGATAAAGTTTCCTTAATTATCTTATAGTTTGGTGTCTTGTTTACACACAAACATCATATACAATATTAAAAAAATAATCTGTGGTGCAATTCATTTTATTTCTTTCTGCAAAATCTGTTCACCCTGTAACCCTTTAGGAAGGGTTCTTGACCGCTGTAAAACCACACTAAGTTCTTCAATTACCTTTGATGGCAATTTATGATCAGGCTCCAAAGGGGCTTTGGCACTCCTGTCCTCAGTCTTCCTCAAGGTCTTCATCCCTCTGTAGCCTTTTTGCTGCCCCTGTGGGAGCTCAGCCTCAGTATCCTCCAGGCAGTTGAAACTCCGGTGTTTTCTGGCACGATTTCGAATCTTATCATCCTTGTGCTCCAGACAGTGGGCCACAATGGAGGCTCTGTCCTTTAGGCTGGGGTCCATGGGCTCCCTATCACGCTTCTCACTGAGCTGTAGCCTCTCAAGTTCTGCTCTTGCACTCTAAAAATAAAATACAATGTCTCACAGGAAAGCAAGATTTTGTACAACTGATAATTAGAAAATACTTTCCATTTAACAGTCAATGCTTCCTATGTAAGACTTATGTCTATGATGTAGGTGGTAATCTCATTTTCACACAAGTGACATGTCTGAATTTATATATTGGTCTTAGTGCTAAAAAATCCACATAAATGTAGACCATAGGAATTCACTTTAACATGAGTTCTACATACCACTTCAAATGTCTTTCAGGCTAGTTATTGCAATTGACTCTCATGTCAAACACCTCTTCTACACCATTTTTGCATGTATGTGTCATCTGTGTGTACACCCTCAATTCTTAAGAGTGTTGTATTCACAGCAGTGAGCCAGGGATATACTCTACACCGTAGCCTCCTCTTTGAGATTCACAAACATATTAGCATATTAAAGATGCTGAGAGTCAGAATGGCAGAAGAATCTGTTTAACTTCTCTTTCCTGAGTTTTATTCTCCTCCTAATACATTTAACTAGTGAAACCTTCCTCCTCCACTCCCCATAATGGCTGTACCAGGTACATTTTCTTAAAATACTGAAATATGTAGACGCATATGTTAAGACTACTACTGTATCAGTGGGTTAGAGTGCACATTCTTTCAGTGAACTCTAAGGATCAATAAGTCCTAGAAGCACACTGCAACAGGACACCTGCAATGGGACAAAGGTAGATTATTTAAAGCAGTGTTCAAGACTTATCTTGTCTGGGCAATACCTAGTGCACAGAACATTCCTCAGATTCAAACTCCCGCAGGATAGTAACAGGAAGAGAGGGAGGGCCAGGATTCTAGATTACTATTTTCTGTTTCAACTGCATCATTCCTTGTTCATTATTTTTATTTATTTTACAGATGTTGTTTTCTTGTTATTTTTTTAAAGGAATGGCTTTTTTGTTGTTGTTGTTGTTTTTGAGATAGGTTCTTGCTATGTTGCCTAGCCAACTCCTGGACTCAAGTAACTTCCTACCTTAGCCTCCCAAGTAGCTGGGACTCCAGGCCAACACCACCATTGCCTAGCTATGAATGGCAATTTTAAAAACTAATGAATTACCCCAGCCTGTCTCCCAGGTTCTTTATTATTTTGCCTCAATATATCTTAGCTATAGGCCTGGCATTATTCTAATTAACTCTCATGTGTGGTGTGCTCTCTTAAGCATATTTGCCTCTTCATGTGGAAGTTCCTTTGCCAACACTTTACTTTCCCTGGCTTATTCAGCTGGCTCAATACTAATTTATACACTTAATTTTAGAAGTCCTTTTCTCCAGGAAGCCTTCCCTGCTTAGCTGAGAAACTCTCATACAATTTCTAAAAGAATTTCATGAAAGTCGACAAATTTACCTATTTGTTAACCATTAGTTTGAAAAATAGTTCTTCCTGATACATCTCTTGATAATTGTTTTTCTGATGAATGCATTCTGCTTAGTAATTTTAAGTCATTTTCCACATTTGGAACAAAGGACCGAAGATGTTTCCTCATTTTATGAAGGGGATTTTCTTATACATTTACATGAATGTAACTTAATTGTACAGTAAACATTTTAATGTTTAAAATGAAAACTTTTCACTTTTTACTAATTTTGGTTTAATGTCTTTTCAGGTAAGTTTTTATATTTTTTCTTTAACTTTGGAGCACTTTATAAAAATCTCTTTACCAAAATTATTAAATCACATTTATTACATTTAAATAAAAGCACGCTTTATTTTAATTTTTTGATAAATTCTCCAGCAATTAATATTACTTAAAAACACTTAACAATTTCTTCATAGTTTCAGTTCATGCTAAAATTATCTAGAACTGTGGATTTGGGATTAGGTACTTACTGCATTTTTAATCATCATCTACACTGGCCAGTATATTTTGGTTCTAAAAGTTCACTTTTTGCTTTTCTCCTCAACTTCTCCTAAGACAATGTAGGACAATGCACTTCATACATAAGATTCTTTGCTGCAACCTGTACTTCCCTGGTCTGGGTTCCTATGGAATGTGATCTTAGAATTTAAAAATTCCAAAGAGTTAAGGAACCCATAACTCTGTAGAGTAGCTTATTACAAAACTAAACTAAACTATAACAACAACAAAAAACCTGTAGGGGGCAAGGTCATATTTCTTAAGAGATTTATTCTTTCCTTTGATTACATCAGTACAACAAAGAACAAATACGTCAACAAAGACTATTATTTTTGAAGCCATTATGCTTTAGAGAAGGAGTATTGCAGTGGGATAAACTTTGAAGTTCAAGTATATTTCTGTGTATAGAAAAACATTTAAAATAACCAGATCATTAGATTACATCCTTCAGTCTTTCTATCTGTATTTTGAAAGCCAAGAGGCTGAAAATAACTTAGTTCCAAACTTCAGTTCAAAGAGGATATAACACCTTTAAAATGCTTTCCTTTTTGTTTTGAAGGCCTTGGGTAAAGTACTGAAACATGCCTTGGTCCCTACGTAGCTAAGGAATATAGAGATTAAAAAAGAATAGCTAATGTTCTTTACTGAGACATCAGACTTCATGCCAAAATAGACACTATTTATGTTCTCCTACTCCTCAAAGTGACAAAGAACACAAATAGTAACTTCCATGAAAATGCCAAATCTTTTTATTGATGCTCAGAGGTCATTTGGAAGTTCCTTAAATTAAGCAAGACACCCCACTGGTTCCCACACTACTAGAATCTGTGCCACTAGAAAATCTAGTGACCAAGGTTCCAGACACTCTCTGCCATGGATTCAGTCTAAGGGTGCTATAAGCAAACTTTAAGACTGTGATTTTACCAGCACAATGTCTACACAAATATTTAAGTTTGCTTGGCTACATTAGAGAAAAGAAAATAAGTGGGTATGTAACTGTATATGTAATTGGGTGGTAAAAGATATTAAAATAAATAGTATGGGGTGATGCATAAAGTTTTCTTGATGTATATGATTACCATTATGCTTTGCAAAGTGACTATTACTGTGCTTTTGAAGCCAATCAAGTAATTCATTCACTCAGACACATCAAGACATAGGATAACAAAGGCTGTAAGTTAATATGACACAGACAAAATCCTAATGTACCTCAATATTTCTCCGGGCTTCAGTTGCATTTCTCACAGGCTGGATGGGAATTAGAGGTAAACCTCCAATTTTGGGATTTTTGGTTATTGAACGCTTTCGTTCCTTTCCAGCTGGTGGACATATATCATTTTCATGCTGTGGAAACACAATTTTGTGCTGTTAGTGTGTGGTTTTACTATGTGGTACACTATGCTAAGTCACTTGGTTCCTTTTCCATATATCCACATCAAGAGACCTGCTTTCCATGAGCGTACCATTTGTAACTATGGTATCGACTGGCAGTGACATGGCTCTAGGACTGAAAACTCTTAAGTGAACTGAGCTTTGAGGTCTCAGTTCAATTTCTAAGTTTCAAATACATGCCTTCTGCACTGCTTATCAAACCAAATGGGGAAAGATCCTGGAGGAAATTGGCAAATCTTTTTGTATTTTTCTCTTACATATATCTTGGCCCTGTAATCAAAGGAGCTATACACCTATTTTCTCTCTACACAGAAGGTGACTGTGATATAAAAATAATTTGATCTTATATATCCCAAATCTACCTAAGGCATGGATATCTGCATTAGTCATATTTCACAATCTTTTGAAAAATGTTACTTTTTCTTCTAATTAAATTCCAAAGAAACATTACTTTTTACACACACATTTATACTGAAAATCATTGTACAACAGAAAGTGGGGGATATTTGTTTTCAAATTATTGGCTATACATTCTAGTTCACTAAACAATTATAGCTATGACTGGAGAAAAGTTAATTTTGTAATGTGCGATAAATGTCCACAGGTGAAAATAGAAGCTCTTGAATGATTAATCCTTGAGATATGCATATAAAAGAAAAATCTTAAATGAATTTTTCTACTCCTTAGGGTAGATTAACTTTTTAGAAGTTGGGAAAAGCAAATTGATTTTTAGGTAACAACCTGTGAAAAACATATAGAACACCAAGTATAAAATGAAGTTTACAGATGTTTTGCTAAAATAACATTTACAAGTCTCAAGGTGTCAAAAGAGTATTTACAGTAAATGAAACAAAATTAAGTTAGCTGTAAGATAAGGAGATTAAGAGGCAGAAATGGATTAGGCTACTTCATGGAGTAGGACAAAAGTCTACTCTTTATTTTCCTCAAGTTTTAAGATATGAATTTTTATGTTGCAGTATTTTAATGTATTGTTTTATAACAAAGAATACATTTCTACAAGTATTTACTGTGTACCCATGATATTATACACAGCCAGTAATTGTGCTTATCAATACGCACATATTATTTTACTTAATCCTCGTTGTTTGTAGAGTGTAAATCCTATTATTAGATTATGTACTTAATGTATAACCTTGAATTCTAGTAAAATATTTACCTTGATTGAGTAAATCTGATATGGTAGATTATAATTCAATCAGAAAGTTATAAGCATCATAACATCATGGTCCCAAACATGGTAAAAAATATTTACTTTGAAGTTATATAATTGGGATGTTCTCACTGTGTAGAGCTGAGAGAAAGCTAGCTGAGATGTACTGGGCAATTTTGCGAACTATGCTCATACTTTCAAATTGTTGATACTACACTTCATGATATTCAGGGAAAGCAGAAATCTCTAGGTCTAAGTGTTATGTTCTGATTTAACATTGATAGTTATCTATTCAAAAAAATAATAAAAAGAAATACTGAGTATATACTTTGTAGAAGGCAAAGGGCTCCATGGGGTGGATAGGAGTTGAATGAGAAGTCCTTCTCACCAAATTTACATGATAGTGGAAGAGGCAGACATGAAATAATTAATAGTAGATACATTTTTAATTGGTACTAACATGGAGAAATATGGGATGCTAAGGGTCTAAGTAGCTTGAAGATCAAGAAAAGTTTCTCTGAGAATATGATATTAAAGCTGAAATTTAGAGAACTTTTGAATTGGGTGAGGATGGAGATGGGTATCACAAAACTTTCCTGGTTACCAGAAAGAACTTGGTGTAGAATCATTTACTGTTGATTAGTGTGTATACATTATCATACATATTAACAATTGCTACTTTCCTGTTTCCCTATGGAGATGAGCCATAAATCCTTAAATCTAAAAGGGCCTCTGTGTTTATCTTAATGGAGTGCTAATGACTCCCAGAAGTGGAATGAGTAGAAGAGATGATTGGGCCAAGTATATTGGGACCAGGACAAGAAAGGCTATGGGAGGTAGCATAAATAAGGTGGTCATGAGTGCATTCTCTGCTTTCTGGCTATTCATTCTTTGAGTTTCAAATACAGAGTCTACTAACTTCAATTATAAAAATAAAAATGGAGTTTAACTGTTCCATAAGCAGACACTGTAGTAGCCTTTGGCTGTACGGTACTAACTTTACTGAAATACTTCAAACCTAGAAGTTTTTTTGGTTTGTTTATTTTATTAAAAGGGTTTTTATGTAATTTTTTTTGTTAGAAGAGTTTGAAAGTCTGAATTTTTGAAAAGAAGTTTCTAAAAAGTTAACAATTATTCTTTTTCTGCAAATGTATTCCCAAGTAGCCAAAGTAAATGAAGGCTAAGAAGAATCATAAGCACTGGAAGGTCAATAAGTTAAATGAACAGAGAAAATGGTCTTCAAAACATTTAAGGACTAGATTTTGAGGTGAGTTAACTTCTTCCTTGTAAGAAAAACAGGAAAATACCTCCTTAGTAATGAAGAGTAGCAAATTAATAGTTACCAATAGAATCTCAATACCCTGTGAGACGCATCACAGGGAATTCACCCAGACAAGGTTGGGAAAAAACCCAATCCAAGTAATGGGACTATTTAACCCTTCTCCAGAAGAGTGAGTACTTATCTAGAGAGAAGAATAAATGGAAGCTGAGTATAAGCTTTGGCCTCAGAAAACCCTGAGTTTAAACCACCAATTAAAAACAGTCCTGAGCAAACTATGCAACCTTAAAGCCAAATGATATAATGCATGGTTTGCTGCAAGGAATACATGAGCCGACTCTTAGGAAGTATCCAGCCTAAATAGGTATGAAAGAAATGCATTCTCCTATCCTTATTTGTTGAAAGGCAGGATGTGGAGTCAGAGAATAAGGGAAATAGGATACTTTCCTAAGTGAAGGTCTATGTGGGGCTCTGGTAGGAGTGATGACAGCTTAGCTAAATTTCTCTTTCCTATACTGCCATATTAAAGCAACATACCTCACCTATGCCAAGGAGCTATTGGAGTGTCAAAAACAGAAAAAAATAACCTGAAAGGAGAGAATAAACTCTCTTTCAAAGGATAACAGACCAATTTGGAATTTCATATATTTAAAAAATGAATGTGAGAATGAAAGTGTATGTCAACTGAATATACCTAAAATTCTTTATTAAAATACTATGAAAACCATCACCACTGTAATATTTCCTATAAACAAAGTTGTTACACTTTATTGGATAGTTGAAACCTGAATCATACCTGGGCAGTAAAGATACTGGCCATCCACTCCATCTGGGATTGTGAACTATCACAACATAGGTGCCTACAAAACAAGGTTTATACAATGAATAGCCAAAAAGACAAGTGATCCTTCTCTGCTGTGTCTGCTGATTTAATAATCAGAAATCTCTCTGAATTTCTTCTGATTTGTGGCTTAATGCATCAAAAGTAGACTATTTTACAAGTGGTTTCAATCTTCAGCTAAGTAAACATCATCAAAATAGTGTAACTATGATGGTTTATGCAAAGTAGAGCAAAAGGCTTTAGTAACTGCTACAAAATGAACAGCAGTATTTTAGAAAAGCAGAAAGAAAGGTCAATGTCATTTTGCTTTTTGAGGTACATGACAGTAAAACATCTTTTCCCGCAGAAACCAAGTCTAATATATATGCACATTCTTGTAATGACAATTTTTTAAAGGCCTAGACACAGTCTCTTTCATTACTGTTATAATCATGAATACCCACAGACACATGAAAAGTAAACTACATGAAAAACCACTATATATCTCATAACACTGATTCGGTAACCTTTTGTTGAAATCCTAAATAAAATGAGCTCTTGCCCTCAAGGTTTACGAAGTCTATTAGGGAAGCTGGGCATGTAAACAAATAAAGTGTAACAGCAAAAAAAAGAAAAAGGCAAGTTGAGCACAAACACAGAAATAGCAGCTAAGAGGAGAGGGAGGTTACATGTAGCTATTCTCTATAAGAAGGAAACTTTATAACTGCTTTAGAGTGACATAATGGACATTTGAAACCAATTATATTCCTCCTAATTCTGAATTAAATAATTTACTTGAAAAAACAATAAAAATGAGATTTTTAAAAGTTATTTGCTTTCTTCATTAGAATCTCACAAAGTCAATGTCTTTTCTAATCACTATGTCCAAAAAAATACAATTTTCTCATGTCCTCATCCATGCATATAAAACACTGTAAATGCAAAGATGAAATAGTGATTAGAAGTAAGAGCTAACTAATGACACTTTGGGGGCATTTGAACTATGGTTTGAAAGAAGAATGACAGTTGAGCCTGCAGATTCATTAGAAGGAGATGGAAGGGAGTAACCCCCCCACCCAACACACACACAGACACATAGTGGTAGACTGACTGGTGAAGGGACCATGTGCAATACACAGGCAGATAGGAATCAGGGATGAATGTACAGCAAATGACAGATGCCTGTTCTATCTTTAAACACAAATGAGAAAGTTGTGGGAAATGTAAATAACTGATAAAATCACATTTAAAGGGCCTTGCATGTCATGACAACAATCCTGTAGGCTGTCCTGTGACAGGATTCACAATGCAAATACAATAATATAATTAAAAAAAAAACAGGTCACGTGAAGGGGAGGTCACACACAAAAGAAAGATGGAGAGCAAATATGAAATTTTATCATTTGCAAGTAAATGGATGGAAATGGAGAACATTTATCTTAAGCGAAGTTGTCAGACTCAGAAGGCCAAAGATCACATGTTCTCCCTCATATGAAGATTATAGATCTAAAACAAATGCAGTAATATTATTGGACATGGGTCACACACTAACAAGAGAAAGTGCATGGGAGGCATAGGAAAAAGGAAGGAAACCTAAAACTTGGATGTGGTTGATGTGCTCACTGTAGAGGAGCAAATAAAGTGCTCCTGGCAGGGGCCACTATGGGAAGGGGACCAGGAAGTAGTGAAGAGGTCTGGTAGAGATGAATCAATTCTGGTTGTAATACACATGTGCATGGAAGCAACACTAGGAATCTCTCTGTATAGCTGTCTTTATCCCAAACTAGCAAAAATGCTATGTCTTTCTTATTATTTCTTAAGTTTTCTCTTCAACAAAATCGAGAAGAGGGCAGAATAGATTCTTCCTGGAAGGAAGGAATTGTAGGGAGTGGGTGGGTGGGAGGAAGTGGCACAAACAATGTATACACATGTAAGTACATGTAAAAATGGTAAAATAAAAGCAGAAAAAAAATCCTAATTTTTTAAAAAGTGAATATGGTTGATATACTCTCTATACAAGAATGAATATAGAATTTTTAAACCTGTAAAAACCACCATAAGAAGGGGACTAAGGTAGAAAGAAGAAAAATAGAGGAGATGAATCAATTTGGGTTATTATATATATATATTCTATACATATATATGGAAATGTCACAAGGAAACTCCCTGTATAGCTACCTTAAACAAACAAGTATTGTTATTTTTTTTTTTTTTACAAAATTGGAGAACACAAGGGTGGAACAGGTCCTACCTGAGGGGTTGGTACCAGTGGGAGGGGGGTGGAGGTGAGGGAAGGGTGTGGAAGGATGAATACAGTACAAATACTGTGTACACATGTACATAAATGAAAAAATGATACCTGTTGAAAATATTCCAGGAATGGAGGGGATAAAGGAAAATGGTGGAGCAGAAGAATTCAAGTATGGCATATTGTAAGAAATTTGTAAGTGTCACAATGTACCCCCAACCAGTACAACAGTAGTAATATATATATAAATTTAAAAAATGAAAAAAGTTTAATACATAAAAAGAGAAAAGTTTTAAAGCAAGAGAGAAGCATGATACATTGGAAAAAAATCTGACAGCCAGGTAGCAAATGTAATAAGAGGAAAGTCAGAAGCTTGAAGAGAATGCAAGACTCGGAATAACCCAAGCAGATTAAAGAAGACTTGGTCCTGAGGGCACCAGGGTATGGTGGATGAGGCGATAACAAGAGGCAGAGCTGATGTGGCTTAGTGATTGATTACACAAAGGTAGGTCCAGAGAGGAGACATTTAGCAGAACCTCTGTGAGACCGGCAGGATGCCCACAACATCAATGGGAAAAGTATATGTTTAGAAAGAATAGGCTTGAGACAAGAATGTGTGTTTTTATTTTTTAAACTCTACTTTAGCTAGTTCTTATTCTTTTTACAAACTGCATTTTTCCTACTTATCTCCTAAAACCTGAATTCAATAATCATATAATACTTATGGAAAAAATCAGATATAGGTTCTTTGAAGAGATATTGTGAAAGAAATACATTGGACTGAAATAGAACTGAACCCTGACACAAATCTATTTTCCTCCTCTTAGACTGCAAGTATTTAGAAAAGCCTTATGTTCTTGTAGGTGAAACACTTCCAGTCTATAGTTCTGTCTGCTAAATAATGAAGTAATTTTTTTAACCAAAGTTGTCACCAATATATCAAATCTGAAAGTTGCCAGCTGTTAACTTACCAGTGATGTTTTTCAGAATATGCAGTCAATCCCCAACTTCATCACATAGGAAGAAAAACACAAAAAGAATCCATTACAAATGATCATCTTTAAAAGGATGAAAAGTTTTATATGTTAACAAGATAGAATTTAATGGTGGGAATGCATAATGGAACAGGTTTCCAAAAATTTTAATTCAACAGGTATGTTTTACTAGAGGCAAATGCTAAATGTTAAATGATTTGGTCATAAACTTAAAAAGGCAGAGGGGGACAGAAGGCAAGGTTATGAGGCAAAGGGGAAATCTCTGAGAACATACTCTTGAATGGTGCTATGGTTTGAATGTGGTTTGCTCCCCAAGTGCCCTTGTGTTCAGAGCTTGGTCTTAAACATGGTGAGACTGGGAGAAGATGGGGTTAGTAGGAGATTCTTAGGTTTGGGGGTGGGGGTGTGGACTTGAAAAAGATTAAATAGTTCTCATACAACTCCTAGTTAGTTCTCTTGAGAGAACTGTTATAAAAATCTGAGTCTCATTTCACCTAGCTGTGTCTGGCATCCTGTTTGTAGATATGATCACTGGCACCTGCATACGTTCCCACAGGTTCTCACCACAGCCATCTGCTATCATGTGAGGCAGCTGAGAGTACACTCACTAGAACTGAGCCTTTCAAGAACACCATGCACTCGGACCTCTGAATCTGTGAGCTCTTATGTTATTTCAGCCATTTCTGTAGACATTTGTCCTTGTGTAGTCATTAGTTTTGTGCAGCCTGTGTCAGGTATTTTGTTATCTGTGCACAAAGCTGACTAACACACTAAGTAAAAATGTCTACAAAAGTGGCTAAAATTGTGTCTGTGTGTGTGTGAGCATGTATAACTAATAATACAAGGGGGAATTAAAGAATGTGCCAGTTGCAACAAACATATGTGCTGAATTTAGAAATTAAGTATGGAGGCAAAAAAAGTGGAAATTCTCAATAATGGAAGCTGAGAAGTAAGCACATACAGTTCATTAAAAAGATGTTTCATGATATTACAAAATGCATTAGTGTGCTCATTAATGAGCTAACCAAAGTGAATGGTGATAAGAAATCATGGTGTAAACTGAGTGATGGGTGAATCAAGTGATGAGGAGGTGCACATGTAAAATGAATCCACCTCTACTAGCTATCTGTTATGGGTTTAGTACCAAATCTGGCACAATGAAAAGGGAAAGCACAGAGCTAGGACCAAAACAGTGTAAAAGCCAAGCGTCAGGAGCTGGAGGGCAGCATTTGCTTTCTTATGTGTAGACTTGCTTAGAGCATGCCTTTTACCCTCCTCACCCAGGCAGTGGTGTACCCAGTTAGGAAACTGGACTCAGAAAAGCCCATGCCCATCTAGCTGACAGGGCCATCTGAGGATTCCCTGCTTTATGGGAAGTGGGGTGACAATGATCACCAAGGAGAGTGTACTTGGTCTCAGTGGGAACATCACCTCTTTATACACTCACTCAGTTCCTCAATCTACCACAGGACCCTGCCACCAATGAAGCAATTTAAGAAACACTGTATAAAAAAGGGGAAATGAGTGGGGAAATTGAATATAATGGACAGAGTGAACTTGTTCAGTATACACTGTACACATACATGGAATTATCACAATGAAACCCCCTGGTATTACTAATGTACATTAACTCAATACAGAATAAAACTATTATAATAAAAATGAAAAGAGAAAAAGAACTAAATCAAACTTCAGGGAACAAAAATAAAGCAATTTAAGGAATGAGCCCACAACTGACTTTATAAAAGGCAAGGGTGATGCCACTAATCCCTAAATCCTTCAAAACACTTATTTCTCCAATTTTTTCTTCTCAATACTTCCCTTTCACACTTTACCTTGTTGGAGGCTTCATTTTCTTTTTCACACCAAGATAAAACTTCATTGAATTGAGAGAAAACATTTTGTCATGTTTACTGCTCTGTAAGGGAAAAAATAATCTGTAATTAAAAAGATTGTATAAGTGTCCCTGCATGTTCATTAAATACTACCAACTACATTTAGAATTATTTACTTTTTCCCATGCTTCATCAATGCAATACTGAGTTTTAGCAAGTGACAACTGTTTGGATTACAGTGTAATGAAAGAAATAAATTTAAATACATAATTTTGGATATATCCATATGTCTATGCATATATGTTTACAAATTATGTTTACAAATATGTTTATATATAGATAGATAGAATCTATCCATCTATCTATCTGTCTATCTATCTATCTATCCTACAACCACACATACATAGCTCTGTCAGTCTTTATAAAAAAAACCACTTCGGGACAGATGTGCATCAGAACTGATAATTTTGGGGATTCCAAGATGGCGGCTAGAGGGAGGAAGCAGAAAGCGAGCCTCCTATAGTGCAATCTTGGAGAGACGTTGGAGACACACTTTGCAGGCATAATCACTGAGAAGAGACATAACTTTGACCCCTCCACACCTCCAGCCGGCGCAGAAAATCTCCACTTCATGTTAAATGGAGAAACCAGGAGGGCCCCCGGGCCGCCAGTCGCCGGCACCCAGAAGGCTTGGGAAGACGCGGACCAGGTGAACTTCATGGTACCGCGGTACTCCCACAGACAAGCCAGGGCCTGAGCAGCATAGCCCCCTGGACAGACCAACCCCCATCCAGGGAAAAAAGAGAAACTGAGTAATAAGCAATAAGAGCAATAAAGACACGCCGGAAAGAGGGTGGGGCGCCCTGAGCGCCGAAGATTGGGGGAAGGGAATCCTTCCCAGGACTGTAAATAAACAAGCCCGGTGGCCAGGAGAGGCTCTGGTGGGAGCAGGGGCGCACCCAGCAACCAGGAGCAGGAAAGCTTGTGAGAAAATACTTAATTGCACACAGTACAGGGACAGTAACAACACCAAAGACAATGATGGGAAGACAGAAAAAAACAGGGAAACCAGCTTCCCCACAGCAAATTAGTACAGGAAGCACGGGGGAATGAAGAAAACAGGTACTCAGATCCAGACTCCAACAAAATGAAGATAAACTATGCTAAAGGACCCAATGAAGCCCACAAGAATAATTTAAAAGAAGACATACTACAGGTACTCAATGAGAATTTTATAGAGATGATACTGCATAGGGTCAACCAAAATGTACAGGAGACACTCAAGAAATTCCAAGACAACAACAATAGAGAATTTGAAAAAGCAAAAGAAGAAATAAAGGAAACCATAGAAGCACTGTATAAACACCAAAGTGAAAGAGAGAACACAATGAATAAATGGATAAATGAACTCAGGACAAAAATAGACAACATTAAAGAGGAAAACAGCCAGGATATGGAAACCTCAGAAAAAAGAACGAACAGAACTGCAAACAAAAACGGAAGGCCAATCGAGCAGATATAGAACAAAACAGAAGACATATCAGAACTGGAAGATGAAATGGAAATTAAAGGAAAAAACCGACGAAACTATTAATTAAACAACTCAGACACCTGCTGAAAGAAAATGCAAGACTGCACCAAACTCCATCAAAGACCAAAACTTAAGAATCATGGGCATCGAAGAGGAGAAGAGGTGCAAGCGAAGGGAATGTTGTAATAGTATTTAACAAATAATAATCGGCAAATTTCCCAAATACTAAGAGAAAGATAATTCCCATACAGATGCCAAGAGGCTCCAGGACACAAACAGACCGTAAAATAGAACTACCCAACGAAATATATCATTAAAACAACAAGTCTCAGAAACTAAGGATAAGAATACTTGAAGGCTGTAAGAGAGAAAAAACAGAGTAACATAACAAAGGTAAAGCCCCATCAAAATCACCAGCTGACTTCTCAAACAAGAAACATTAAAAGCAAGAAGAGCGTGGGGGTGACACTCTTCTGGGCACTGAATGAAAATAACTTACCAGCCAGGATAAACTCTACCAGAAAAACTATCATTCAAAATAGATGGAGCCAATAAAAGTCTTCCTTCTGGGCACTGAATGAAAATAACTTCAACCCCAGGATACTCTACCAGCAAAACTATCATTCAAAATAGATGGAGCAATAAAAAGTCTTCCATGATAAGCAGAAACTAAAACAATATGTGACCACAAAGCCACCACTACCCAAAGGATTCTTCAAGGGATTCTGGCAACAGAAAGTGAAAACCCAACTTAACCATGAAAAGACAGGCAGCACCAAACCACGGAAAAAGAAAAAGCAAGACAGTAGAGAGTAACATCAAGTTAGTACACACAACAAACCTCAAACAACTAAGACAACTAAATGACAGGAATCACCACATACCTATCAGTACTAAATGCTTAAAGTAATGGACTTAATTCACCCTTCAAAACACATAAAATAATGCTCAAACCATCTCCTAGGCAATATAAGGAAATGCAAATAAAACCATGCTAAGAATTCCACCTCACCCCTTTTAGAATAGCCCATCATCAGCAAACACCCAACACAGGGTCCGGTGAGGGATTGCGGGGGAAAAAGGAAACCACTCTTACAACTGTTGGTGGGAAATGTAGACTAGTACAACCACTCTGGAAAAAAATTTGGAGGCTACTTAAAAGCTGGACCATCAAATCTTACCATTTGATCCAGCAATACCAACTCTGGGGATATACCCAAAAGACTGTTACTCCAGAGGCACCTGCACACCCATGTTTATTGCGGCACTATTCACAATAGCCAAGTTAGGAAACAGCCAAGATGCCCCAGCACTGACGAATGGATTAAGAAAATGTGGTATCTATACACAATGGAATTTTATGCAGCCATGAAGAAGAACGAAATGTTATCATTCGCTGGTAAATGGATGGAATTGGAGAACATCATTCTGAGTGAGGTTAGCCTGGCCAAAAGACCAAAAATCGTATGTTCTCCTCATATGTGGAACATTAGATCAAGGGCAAACACAACAAGGGTGGACTATTGAGCACATGATAAAAGCGAGAGCACACAAGGAAGGGGTGAGGATAGGTAAGACACCTAAAAATAGCTAGCATTTGTTGCCCTTAATGCAGAGAAACTAAAGCAGATACCTTAAAGCAACTGAGGCCAATAGGAAAAGGGGAACAGGACTAGAGAAAAGGTTAGATCAAAAGAATTAAACCTAGAAGGTAACACCCACGCACAGGAAAATCAATGTGAGTCAATGCCCTGTATAGCTATCCTTATCTCAACGCAGCAAAAACCCTTGTCTTCCTATTATTGCTTATACTCTCTCTATAAAAAAGATAAAAGATAAAATAGTTTACCTTAAATCAATTATGTTAAAAAAAAGAAAACATAATACCATTACACACCTAATTATCACTCTCTCTACATCAAAAATTAGAAATAAAGGGGCAAAATAGTTTCTGGCTGGGTATTGAGGGGGGGGAGAGGGAGGGGGAGTGGGTGGTTAAGGGAGGGGTGGGGGGCAAGGGGGTAGAAATGAACAAGCCTTGTAATGCACATATGAATACCTAAAGAAAAAACTGAAAAAAAAAAACATAAACTAAAAAAAAATAGGCACCGCTGTGACGACTGGATTAAAAAGGAAGATCCAACAATTTTGTTTTACAGGAGACTCATCTCACGACAGAAATAAGCATAGGCTAGGATGAAAAGGCTGGAAAATTTACCAAGCCAATGGCCCCCGAAAACAGGCAGGAGTAGCAATACTTACTCTGACAAAGTAGACTTCAAACCTACATTGATCAAACGAGATAAGAAGGACATTCCATACTAATAAAAGGGGAAATAGACCAAAAGGAAAATAATAATATCAAACCTCTATGCACCCAATCAATGCACTCAATTTCATCAAACATCCCTGAAGACCTAAAAGCATATATTAACACCAACAGTGGTTGTGGGAGACTTTAACACCCCATTATCATCAATAGATAGGTCATCCCAAACAAAAACTCAATAAAGAAATCCAAGATCTAAAATATGACAATAGATCAAATGGACCTAGCTAGATGTCTACAGAACATTTCATCCAACTTCTACACAATATACATTCTTCTCAGCAGCCCATGAACCTTCTCCAAAATAGATCATATCCTAGGGCACAAAGCAAGCTCAGCAAAATATAGAAAACAGAAATTATACCATGCATACTATCTGATCACAAGCAGTAAAAGTAGAACTCAACAACAAAAGTAAAGACAAAAAACATGCAAACAGCTGGAAACTAAATAACTCATTACTTAATGAAAATGGATCATCGATGCATAAAAGAGAAATTAAAAAGTTCCTAGGAAGTCAAATGAAAATGAAAAACACAACCTACCGGAACCTATGGACACAGCTAAGGCAGTTCTGAGAGAAAGTTTATAGCCATGAGTGCATATATTAAAAGACTGAAAGATCCCAAATCAATGACCTAATGATACATCTCAAACTCCTAGAAAAACAAGAACAAGCAAATCCCAAAACAAATAGAAGGAGAGAAATAATAAAAAATAAGAGCTGAAATCAATGAAATAGAAACCAAAAAAACCATACAAAGAATTAATGAAACAAAAAGTTGGTTCTTTGAAAAAATAAACAAGATCGATAGACCCCTGGCAAACCTGACTAAAATGAGGAGAGAAAAACCCAAATTAGTAGAATCAGGAATGCAAAAGGGGATAATAACAACAAACACCATGGAAGTCCAGGAAATCATCAGAGACTACTTTGAGAACCTATATTCAAATAAATTTGAAAATCTTAAAGAAATGGACAGATTTCTAGATACATATGACCATCCAAAACTGAACCAAGAGGAAATTAATCACCTGAATAGACCTATAACACAAAATGAAATTGAAGCAGCAATCAAGAGTCTCCCCAAAAAGAAAAGTCCAGGACCTGATGGATTCTCTGCTGAATTCTATCAGACCTTTAAAGAAGAACTGATACCAACCCTCCTTAAACTGTTCACAAATAGAAAGGGAAGGAAAACTGCCAACACATTTTATGAAGC